CAGCAAGCCTAATACTCAAGCACAGCGCCATACTCAAGCTTATCTACACAGCCAAAGGCTTAAAGACACCTGAGAATGGATTTTGCCTCATTGTGGCAAAATTCCTCGCAGTGGCAACACAGCTGAGAAAGCAACTAATCTCTGATAGTGGTATTACTCGAAACCATGTAAATGTATTTTGTACAATGGACTTCTCCTGAGATGGGAGAACTTATAATGACTGTTGGTTTTACTGATGAGTCTATGGACCATAATAATAATATTGTTGTTGTTGTTGTTGATTCAGGATCTTCCTTCTACCAGAACTGTGACCAAAACATTATCTTATCTCCACTGCTCAGTTATGGGCGTCTTCAGTATGGGAGGTACAGGGTGAGGTAGCATAACTTCCTTTTTTCAAAACTTAATAAAACCCATTGTATGAATCAAAATTTTTATTTTTTTTATAAAGTAGGCGCATACCTAAAGTTTTGTTTTACGTAGTTTTGAAGATCAAATTAGGTAGGTGATGTCCCCCATTCTCCATACACTGAATAAATCGATTTCTGGCATTTGTCATGACTCTTGCCAGCATAGTAGGCGTTATGTTGGCAATTTCTTCCTGGATGTTGGTCTTCACATCTTGTAGGGTCCTTGGACGGTTCACATAAACACGGGATTTCAAAAAACCCCATAGAAAAAAAATCACAAGGGGACAAGTCTGGAGAGCGGGCCGGCCACTCCAAATCCGCTCGAAAAGTAGGCCTCAACGGCAAAAGCACGCTCCTCACTGTTCCAACGCATGATGGCGACTGAACTGTGTCAGGACAAAACATTATACTCCTGCCTCGAACGAGACCACTAGCGCTCCGCTACGTCTTCAACTGACTGAATGGCGAGCATTTAAAAAAAGGAAGTTATGCTGCCTCAATCTATATATAAAGAAACCAGTGTGGGTGTGTAAGATTTTTTAGGTAAATGGAAGAAACTGGAAATCACCAAAAAGCAAAACAGGCAGTAGCTGCAGGGAGAAAAGTCAGACTGAACCCAGGCTCCCCAGAGATGATAAAAACAATAAAAATGTTTGAGGTTGGTTATGTTTAGAGATCAACAGGGCCACTGCATGGTAAAGATGGTGAAGTGATGATAAGAGAAAGAGAAAAAGTACCATTATTCAAGGCCTACTTTGCCTCACAAAAGGAAAACAGTGTCAATGGTGCAGGTAGAATAAATTATCCAGCAAGGGCACTGCAGCCCAGAATAGATAAAGAAATGGGAGAGGAACACCTAGCTACTAAAACAATTTCAAGGGCTGGATTAACACCATGTAAAGGAACTTGGAGATGTAATCCCAGAGTTTCTATTAAAAAATTTTTTTGAGAATGCTTGGACAACAGGAACAGGACGGAGGATGAATGTTGTCTCCAACTTCCAAAAGAGAAGAATGCTCTGGTAACTACCAACCAATTGAGCTGATGTCAGTACCAGAAAACGTTCTATATAGATCATTAAATAGTCTATACATGAACACTTGGAGAAGAATTAGGAGTTTTCTAAAAGCCTCTCAAAACAAGTCATGCCAGACCAATCTTATTTCACATTTTGATACAGATTTGGAATGTTGCAGGAAATCTTGCAAATCTAGTGTATCTTGATTTTAGCAAAGCTATCAAGTTCTCTGATGAAGTTTGTCTTAGGTGGTGCTACAGGTGGGTGGATTTTTAACTGGCTGATGGACTAATCCAAAAGAGTGGTCATCAACGGTTCCCCTTCATCCCGGACAGAAAAAACTAGTAAAGTGCCTCACAGTTTTATCTTGTGCCCAATGATGGTCAACTCCTTTATAAATAACTTTGATGCTGGAATATGGTTCCCAAACTTTGGACTTGTTTTGGACTTCAACTCCCAGAAATACCAGTCAGTTTACCAGTTGTTAGGAATTGTGGGAGCTGAAGTCCAAAACATCCTAACCACAGTTGGGAACCACTGGGATAGAGGGCAAGCTTATCAAGTTTGCAGGTGACTTGTTGTTTATTTGTTCAGTTGTTTCCGACTCTTTGTGACCTCATGGACCAGCACACACCAGAGCTCCCTGTCAGCCATCACCACCCCCAGCTCTTCAAGGTCAAGCCAGTCACTTCAAGGATAACATCCATCCATCTTGCCCTTGGTCGACCCCTCTTCCTTTTTCCTTCAATTTTCCCCAGCATCGCCTTCTTCAAGCTTTCCTGCCATTTCATTATGTGGACAAAGTGCTTCATCTTTGCCTCTAATATCCTTCCCTCCAGTGAGCAGCTAGGCATTATTTCCTGGAGTATGGACTGGTTGGATCTTCTTGCAGTCCAAGGCACCCTCAGAATTTTCCTCCAACACCACAGTTCAAAAGTGTCTATCTTTCTTTGCTCAGCCATCCTTACGGTCCAGCTCTTGCATCTATAGGTTACTACAGGGAATACCACTGCTTTAACTATGTAGATCTTTGTTGCCAGTATGATGTCTCTACTCTTAACTATTTTATCGAGACTGTTCATTGCTCTCCTCCCAAAAAACAAATATCTTCTGGTTTCCTGGCTGCAGTTTGCATCTGCAGTCATCTTCACACCTAGAAATACAGGGTTAGTCAAAATGAATAGGCCAATAAGAAAATTAATTTTAGACGAATGTATGTTTATTGTAACCAAACTACAGCTACGTAGCGACAGATAAACTATCAAAGTTTTGTCTCACCTTCAGAGATGTTCGATATGGGCGCCCCGTGTGACACGGCAGATGTCCAAGCGATAGTCCAGTTCATTCCACATCCGTTGCAGCACATCCGATGTAATGGCATCGAATGCAGCAACGTCTGGGAAGGTGTTCGTTGAGGTCCTAACCCTAACCCTAACCCTATCCCTAACCCTAACCCTAACCCTAACCCTAACCCTATCCCTAACCCTAACCCTAACCCTAACCCTATCCCTATCCCTAACCCTAACCCTATCCCTAACCCTAACCCTATCCCTATCCCTAACCCTATCCCTAACCCTATCCCTAACCCTAACCCTAACCCTTGAAATTCTCGCTGGACCGTAATTACTGACATTGTTTTAGCAAATGTCATCACACAAAACGCCTTCTCTTTGCTTGATTCCGCCATTTTGAAAACAGCGACCCCTTGCGACGCCTAGCGGCATTAACGTACATGTGTGTTGCTCAAAAAAAACTTTGATAGTTTATCTGTCGCTACGTAGCTGTGGTTTGGTTACAGTAAACATACATTCGTCTAAAATTAATTTTCTTATTGGCCTATTCATTTTGACTAACCCTGTACAAAGACTTGGGTTTTTTTTAATGTTTAACTGCAACCCAACTTTTGCACTTTCTTCTTTCACCTTGTTTATAAGGCTCCTCAGCTCCTCCTTGCTTAGCCATCAAAGTGATATCATCTGCATATCTAAGGCTGTTAATGTTTCTTCCAGCAATTTTAACTCCAGCCTTGAATCTGTCAAGGTGACATCCATTAGAAAGAGTAGTTAAATCCCCAGAATCAGATTTCAAAATGACCGGATCAGATTAGAGAGCTGGGCCAAAACTAACAAAATGAACTTCAACAAGGATAAATGCAAGGTACTACATTAAGGCAGGAAAACTGAAATGCTCAAATATAATGGCAATACATGGTCTGACAACAGTGCATGTGGAAAAGATCTAGGGGTCATAGCAGAATGTAAAAGTAAACAATATAATTTGGAAACCACCACAACAGAAAAGTCAATGAAATTCTAAGCTTCAGCAGTGTCTAAATGGAGAAAAGTTATAGTACGGATAATGTTCTGCTTTGAATAGAGCTCACCTAGACCACTTCTGGACACCAAAGCTCAAGAAGGATCAAGACAAATTGGAACATATTCAGAGGAGGGTTACTGCACAAAAATGACATAGGCAGCTGGGTATGTTTGGCATGGACAAAAAAGACCAAGAGATGACATGATAGCCATCTTTAAATATCTGACGGGATATCTGGAAGAAGGGGAAGCTTGTTGTTTTCTGCTTCAGAAAAAAGAATGTTCAAAAGTAAGAACTCTTCAATAGTGAAACGGATTGTCTTGAAGAATGATAGAACCTCCTTTCTTTTATGTGTTTAAACAGAAATTCAGGTGGCCACCTCATGAGTGTGCTTTAGTAGTGTATTTCTATGTGACATGGGATTGGCCTTGTGAACCCCTTTCAGCTCTTCTATGATTCTAAAAAGTAGATCTCCATGTTCTGCCTATTGCTAACAGAAATACTCTACTTATAGACAGTCCACGTGACTAATTTCTTTTAAGAACCCACCACCACTTCAACAGACATTTTAAGCCCATTCAGTCCTATGACATTTTGTGCAACATCTACATCAGGCATGGGCAAACTTCATCCCTATAGGTGTTTTGGACTTCAACCCACAATTCCTAACAGCCTACCAGGAGTTGAAGTCCACAAACAGCTGTACGGATTGTGGGAGTTGAAATCCAAACACGTGGAGGGCCAAAGTTTACCCACACCTGATCTACATCTACCCAGGGAAAAGTGTAGGGAAGGAAGCAAAGAAGTCTGCTTCTAACTGTCCAATTTCATGCACCTAGATATGAATCCAGACTCCGCTTATTTATTATTTCACACTTTTTAGACAGCTGTAAGCAGCATCAGCAGTGTGCACCCACCACATATGTCCACAAGCAAAACAAGTAGATGTATTTATCTCCATACAGAACACAACTATGCATGTGTCTGTTTCTCCTTGCTACAGGAGCTCCTAATGAATTCAAATCAACATGTGTAAAGAAACCTTTACAAATCTTCAGAACAGGGAGCCTGGTGCAAGGAGCAAGAATTTCCAAGAGAGAATGGCTTAATTGGGTCCCGTTAGGGAGAAAAGCATGATATACATAAATATTTATTATTAATAATAATAGTAATAATAGTAATAATTGTTTTTCTTTGGCACACCAAAATAATTTCCAAATTATATCCAGGAATCTTTACCATTCTTCTTCCAGATGTTTTTGAGAAATGCTTCATTTTTAGAGCACATTTTTGCATAGCAAAAATGGTAGGCGGGAGGCCTTTCCTACAGCAAGAGACGTGACAAGATCCTGGCACGGACATACACATATTCAGTATTCAAGTTTACAAATATTAAGAAGGGAAACATTATAGAGGGAAAGCATACCACATTACATGCCTCAAATGAAAATAAAATATTTACCGGTCTTAAAAATCAGCATCTTCCAGTAAAGGAGGGAGCGGGAAAAGTATGAACTATTTAAAAAGAGGACGCACATTCTACAGAGGAAAGCTGTTTGCTCATAAGACTGAACTACTTTTCTTTTCCTTTTCTGAACATTGTTAACATGTAATACCCATCAATTCCAGCCACATCTACAAAAACGAAAATTAAAAAACGGACATGCACTGGTTCTGAGCGGGCAGTCAGCTCTTCCCAAAGCTTCCCGTCCAAGTCCTCTTCCCCATAACGCACAAACCTAGAGCTGCTTATTAAATAGCCAAAATGTATGGATTTCAGGCTGGACAGCCATAAAGGGTAATACAAGGGTGAAGGATGCCTTTACATGCACCAACAGTTTCTATTTAGCAGCCTGGGAGCTGTTAAGCAATTTTTAAAATGATACATGCATGTGAAGCATGCATGCATATTTGTAGAAAACACACAAGTAGCCATCATAATTTAGCAGTAGACCTACCTAAGAAGAAAACATAATTTCCCTAAGCTATTAACATTATGCAGAACCTTAAAAAAAATCAGAAACAAAAAATAGCAATAACAAAACTTGAAAGCTAAATCTAATGAATGGTCATCCCGAACAAGAACCTTCACAAATATAGAACAGATGTGTCTTATAAAAATGGATATCATTATCTTCATACTTGATACACTTATCCATAATACAGATTAATTTAATGCTTATTACTAGTAACATGCAAAGTTCATTGCATGATGCATGATTCAAAGACCGTATTCAACTTCAAGGAGAAGAGCCCCAGCTGAAGAAAATATTTTCGGCTGAATCTCGAATTCTCACTTTGTTCTTTACTTTTGTGGTTCCAAGTCTCTCGAGCCAATGTTAAAAATGATGGATTTGCAGAAGGAGGGAGAGATTCTGAACCTTATGCATCTATTAATTGACTGTACAAACACTTTCCATACTCAATACCGACCATGCAGTTCACTAAATAAATAAGTATAAATTGCAGATTTGCTTCAGACTCAAGATAAGAAATCTTTTGGAAAAGGTTTTAGCACGGTCTTGACATAAACTTGAGTAGTGGTGGAAATTAAGTAGTAAAATGGCACCCTGGATCACAGTATAATCTCATGGAGATTAAATTAATATACACATCAGTATTATGCAGTTTTACCTTTGAGCAAATTCATCACAGATTCTAGTTCGCTTTTATCGTACATATTTAGTTTTCCCAGTCCATAGCCTCTAGTTTGAAAAAACTGTTTTGAAAAGTTCTTATGGACCTGATTCACGATTGATTTGCTTCAATAAGTACCTTCTTATCTTAAATAGTGAGGCATTTTTAAAAACTTTATCTCTAACTTCTCTCTATTTCAATTGTTTTACATTTTCAGGCCTATTGTTCTCTAGTCATTCATCCCATCATTGAACACCAAGCAGACCAATGAGAGGGACTGGTCGCATTTGGCTGCATGTGCAATATGTCAGACTGGTTTTTGAAAATGACTAAGTACTTTTCTCAAGCCTACATTATACTCTTAAATTTGTTATAAATCCTATAAGAAGAAAACTTCAGAGTTACAGGGTACAAAGTAAGACATAGAAGTTATAAAAATGACAAAGGCTAGCTTCGTAAGAGTAATCTAAAAGCAACAGTGATTCCTAGGAGAATACATTGGGTATTATGTTGTGATCTAAGACCACACATTCTTTGTTGTAAACCTCTGTAGCTTTCTTATTTCTTCCCCCTAAAATTTTCAGACCCAAATGGAATCAAGAAGGCAAAGGTCTAAAAACTCCAGGGTACAGACAATATTTGACTTGTGAGGACTCTCTCTGTCTGTTTTTCATACTACGTTCAGCAACATGGGATGTACAAACTGGGTGTTGATATAGGAGAAGCCTTCAAAATCGGTTTGGTCTATGTTGGAAATGACAAGCTGATCGGGTGGCGTTAACACTGGTTGTCCTCTGGTGAAGAACTTGTCAAAGTTTTCAGCACCTTTGCCACACTGTCAAGAAACAAAAAGATAACACCGTGAATAAATGTAAAAAATGGAAACTAAAGGTATTCAGAAGTTATTACAAACTTTACAATTTTAGCAGACATAGGATTGCACTGGGCTTTCTGTTAATTTTATATAATTAGTGAATGATCTATATAAATAAAAATGTTATGTTCATTTGTGGGATTAACATAATTCAAAAACCACTGGATGAATTGACATCAAATTTGGCCACAATGCACGAACTAAACCAATGTAGGTCCTTCACTCAAAATAAAAAAATTAACAAAAAAACCCCCAGAAAGAACTAAAAACCCCACAAAGCTAAATGACTATACAGAGTATGCGTTAAAACAACACCCTCCCCCACCCCTCTTTCCTGCACGAGGAAAAAAACCCCAACAGCTGAGAGAGAGGCAGCTTGAGAGAGGGAAGGAAAGATGGCCCGTATATCCCTCTTGCTACCCCCTGCCTCTCTCTTCTCAAAGAATTGTGAGGGAGGGAAGGAAGGAGGGTGGGAGGGAGAGAGAGAGAGAGGACACCCTCTTTCAGATCCAACCCTCCCCTTCTTTTCCTTTCCTTTCCTTTACTTTCCTTTCCCTTCCCTCTTGGCTTCCTGGGCCTCGGGGGGGGGGGCCAGCATGGAGGTACCTCCGCTGGGCTGCTGGGAACTCACACGGGAAGGATTCGGTGTGTGTGTGTGTGTGTGCGCGCGCGTGCATATGCACACACACACCCCTATATGCACACACATATCTCTACACACTTCAGCTCCCAGAAAGCTCACCCATATTGAGTTATGGGAAGGTATTCTGGGAAATGAAGTCCAGTATTCAAAAAAAAGGACAAAACGCACACTCTGTGAGTTAGGAAAGGCTGTCCAGGAAGGCACAATCAAAACACTCCCGAAAGATGGCCATCCATTTTTTACTTTATAGCAACCCTGGGCTATAATATCTACAACAATTATATATAAGTCTATTTTATATATATATATATATATATATATATATATATATATATATATGGCAGTATACACTGCCATATATTCCAGTTCAAAGGAGAAAATGTGGGATTTTATTCATCTGTGTGGAAGGGGCCTTAAACACATAGTCTGAAGTGTATTTCTTTTACAACGTTTTAAACAATTTTGTGCACGAAATAACATTTGTTTACACTGAACCATAAGCAAGTGAATGTGTCATTACCTTAGCCACAATTTTGGAGTATTCCAGATTTTGGATTCTGGACAGGCCTGTAGCCAAGATTTTTATTTCGGGGGGGGGGGGGGGCTGAGTTTGATTTGGGGAGGGTGAAAGAGGGTCTACCCTAGCAAAACTTTTGTATCATTACCCCAATACCCCCATGCATATGGGATATATTGAGCATGGTGATCAGATCATGATATGAATAAACATAACAGTTTAAATAATGTACCAGTAAGGCCTTCTCACGGACCACCATGAGAATTTCGGGGAGGGGGTGAAGCCCCTCAACCCCCCCCCCCCCCCGCTATGGGCCTGATTCTGGATATTTGATTCCTGCAGCCGCTGAAAATAGACTGAGATGGAACTGTGTCTCAAATATCCAATGTTTATTCAGAGGCTGTCATTCAGTTAATGATACTGTCTGCATAAGGTACTGCTTCAGCACACCTATTTTAATGAACAGAATGAATGCAATGATTGTTACCCAATCATTTCTTTGAAATTCTGTTTTGTCAGCAGAAGCAAAATTGTAAATAGTATAAGAAATAACACTACCTTAGCTACTCTTCTCACTCCCACACACAACACTTTCTGCAATGTTCTAAAAACTAAGGTTTATTTGCTGCAAGTTTATGCCTTGCAGTGAAAAACATAAGCTTCATGTTTCATTTGTAATATGGGTTGGAGTGGGCCATTATAATACAATGGCTATGAATCACAGCTGCCCTGTAGCAGGCTTTGTCATTGCCATTATGCTAACATGTACCATCTCAATGTTTAGTTAAAATAATAAATGGAAACTTATTTCAAGTCATACTTTCTACTATTCCTAGCCATGTCTTAAAAAGGAAAAGGAAAAAAAGCTTCGTGACAATCAACAAAACCTTTACAACATAATGGTCGTTACAACATAATGGTTTGTGGCGAAATGTCCACAAACACACTAAAAATAGATGTTTAAGAGAACTCTTTTTAAACCTCCACTTTATTCTGCACTAAAACATCTTAGGACTTCAATTACTCCTTCCATCAAATGCAATTTTCATAAAGCTATCTTGGTACACAAGGTACACAAAGCATTCTCACTGGCCTACACTTCAAGTGGAAAGATGGCATTTTTAGGTGCTGTATTTTCTTTTAAATCTGTATGAAAAATGTTTTTAAAGTGTGTTTTAATTGAGATTATTGTCATAGCTGGTTCTGAAAAGGTCTGCTGGTTTGTTTATTTGGTTGCATGGTACAAGTTGCTTCTGGCATGAGAGAAAATGTTGCCCAGGGGATGCCTGGATGTGTTACTATCCTGCAGGGATGCTTCTCTCATGTCGCCAAAGGACTAAGGCACTGACATCTCTGACCAATCCTCTGTTTGGATATCAGTCAGCACGCCAATGTCTTAAATCAAGAAATAGCTTCCTAAGATCTACAGAGATACTTGCAGGAACCCTAAGCAAGCCAGAGTCAAAAAGTGGCAGGTTAAAACCTGGAACCTCAATCAGTGGCTGAGACCAGGTGAGAAACTCCCTGCTGGGCACACAGAAGGCTGGGCGACTTGGAAGATGCTGAACAGACTGCGCTCTGGCACCACGAGATACAGAGCCAATCTTAAGTAATGGGGTTACAAAGTGGAGTCCACAACATGTGAGTGTGGCCAGCAGTCCAAGTGGCCAGCTCTGGTCAAAGGAAATTTAGCATAATGCCAAGTTTTTAACTTTGTTTGTGATATATATATATATTCACACACACACACACACACATTATAACTATATTCTCAATTCACTTCTAACATGATAAATACATACAAATAAAAGTGTTTTAATCATGTTTTAATAATATTATTCTTTAATTCTTTTTTAACTTTTGTAAACTAACTCTGTTGAATCCTGAGATATAAAAGCAGGATATAAATACAATAAATACAATACAATAAATAAAATTACAGCTATTAAAACCTACAATTATTGTACGCATTTTTTAAAAAATGACACTACAAAGAGTGTTTCTCAAACTGTGCTCCTCCAGGTGTTTTGGACTTCAGCTCCCAGTAATCCCAAGCTACTTCCCAGCTGTTAGGAATTGTGGGAGCGGAAGTCCAAAGCATCTGGGGGAGCAGTGTTTGAGAACCCCTGGTTTAGTGGACAGACTTATACTGGAAAAGAATCTGTGTACACTGCTACTGAAATTTTTATTGAATTTTGTAAAATGGAAACATCCCAGTCTTTCCCACACTTCAAGCTTAACTTGGAATTAAAGGCAACCAGTTTTTCATCATGGTGAACCTATTCTGAAAATGTGGACAGTTACTAAGCATAAGGGAAAGCTATAGCTGCTAAAAGGAGGAACAATGATGAAATATTGGTTGTGTAGGGACATAGTGAAGAAATGGTTCAGCTATCAATGAAAGGACCACACTATACAAACTTTGGAATGATCAAATTCTATTGTACTAATAAGACTCCAAGGACTTATATAATTTTCATTACTAAAAATACAGAAAACTCAGAACTAGTGAAATTGTCACTTTTTTCTTCTAAAGAGGCACCATCATATGGTGGAATAAAGACCATCATCACTGATCACAACCTGCTCTGGGTTGCAAACCATGAAACTGTTCACCAAGGAAGAATGTCCAGGGTAGAAGTTCTTTCTCCCACCCTAGATATTCCTCAGATATATAAACCTCACTTGCCTAGTTTCCAACAGACCTCACAACTTCTCAGGATGCCTGCCATAGATGCAGGTGAAACGTCAGGAAACAATGCTTCTGGAACATGACCATACAGCCTGGAAAACTCACAGCAACAAAAGACGTATTACTTACAACTTTGGGTTTGAATGGAGGCTGGATGTCCCTGTTTTCAAGTCTCTCCCAGTCAATTCTTCTAAAGAAGGCATGCTCCCGAATATCTCTCTCCCCCTCAGGACCGCAGCCAAGACGTTTCACAGGGTGTTTAGTCATTAACTAGATATCAAACACATCAAGGATGAAAAAGTGATTTTCAGAATGGAATCAACACATTACTGATCACACTGATAATTTTCTTGGCCTTCAGAAAAACTGAGAATGTGTGCTTGTTTTACAAGCAGTTAATTATCTTTTGAGCTCTCTTCTGCTTCTTATAACAAAGACCAAACTACAGCCAAGGGCAGCACAACCATTTATATGATGACTAAAAGTGCATCTTATTGACTTTAACAAGATTAATTGTGAATTCCATTGCAATGTAATTTTATAACAGGGAGACATGGAAATCTGGGATTTAATTCTTCCAATTGTGGCTGATGGGAATGCTCTCCTAAAACATTTCAAAGATATTCCTTGCACCAGCTCTATAAACACAACTGTCCCCCGATACACATTAGCCATCTCATGGAAGAGTTACGTGTACCATTAACTAATTGATGCTCATGTAGTTGCCTATTTAATACTAGTTCAATCAAATAGTTGACTCCCATGCAAGTGGCAAAAAACCACAAGGAAATATTTTACATTCTAAAAATGTTGTTTTTATAGCAGAGTAAACCAGTGTAGCATTAAGCTAAATTTGTCTTTATTTGTTTTTAATTACTGTATTACAGTATTAGTATCAAGTCAATACAGAGTTTATACTATGGTATAGTATTAATTGGAGCCCCCAGTGGTGCAGTAGGTTAAAGCGCTGAGCTGCTGAGCTTGTTCACTGAAAGATCGCAGGTTCGATTCCGGGGAGTGGCATGAGCTTCTGCTGTTAGCCCCAGCTTCTGCCAACCTAGCAGTTCAAAAACATGCAAATGTGAGTAGATCAATAGGTACCTCCAGCAGGAAGGTAACAATGTTCCATGCAGTCATGCCGGCCACATGACCTTGGAGATGTCTACAGACACCGTCGGCTCTTTAGCTTAGAAATGGAGATGAGCACCACACCCCAGAGTTGGACACGACTGGACTTAATGTCTGGGGAAAACCTTATAGTATTAATTAGGCTTGTGCAATTTGGCCGGAAGGGAATCCAATTTTGGCATCCAAATTTCGTTGAGCACCCAGATCTGTTTTTTGGGAGCCTCTTGAAAATCGGTTAATGGAACTATCCGTTTTTGGCTAGCCAGCCGAAAGATCAGGAAAGATCTGGCCAATTGGTGGCAATGGGGAACTTACAAGGCTCTCCTTTCTGTCCCTGGGATCCTTTCTTGTCTTCCTTTCAAGGGGGAATCTAGGTTTCAGCAACAGCACTAAGGAAGCACCCTTCCAGGGACCCTTTTCTTTCTTGCCTTTGATCGAGTCTGGGTTTCAGGAACAGGTTTAAGTAAGCACCCTTCCTGGAACCCCTTTCCTCCTTCCTTTCAAGGAAGTCTGAGTTTGAGCAATGGGAAGCCGAATAGGAAAGGAAAAGCCATGATCGGTTGCCATGTGTTCCCGTAATGGATGAAAAAAACGTGATGGCTGGGCACTTACTGTTATGGCCATCTAGCCAAACTGAACAAGCCAGATTTGCCAAAGGGAACTGACTGCTCTGGATTTGTGCAGAAGCCTAGTATTAGTTATCTCTACTTTAATAGTAACTCCCAAGCAACCAGAAACTACATTTATCCGGCATCTACAAATCCCCAGGAGTGCTGGTTAACAGAGGCTCTATATACTGTGACATAATGCAGTTTGAACTACATTATAATAATCAGTGTATCATATGAGTCTATATTGCCATATAATCCAGTTCAATGCAGTTAAATTTCATTATGAAACTGGATTAAATGGCAATGTAGACAGGGCCTTAAAGTCTACTGTAATTGGATGGCGAAAACAAAATCATAGAAAAGGAAAAAAAACCACTATATATTTGGAAAAAGGAAGCACTCTTTTGTTAGGCATGTCTTCTTGAGGAAAAGGATAGCTGGGGAACAATTTTTAATTTAGTTCTATGCTCTGATCACTAGTTTAATAATCTGAGATATTTGTTCCATGCCCTCACTTTTTAACAACACCAAATATTGAATGCACACTTTTTGTATACAAAGTTAGAAATATCTGTATAATTTATAGTGTCTTGTAGAAGTGTTCACCTCTGACTAGTCCATATTTTGTTGTTTTACAATCTGAAACTGAAATGGATTTAACTGGCATTGCTACCACCTGTTAATAAAACATGAATAATGCCAATCATATCCATTTCATTTCCAACCTGCAACACAAAAAAATTCAGCAAAAGTTGAAGGGGTGGTGGTGGAGGATACTTCTCCATCATGTATTTATAATATTTCCTAAGTCAGTCTATAGTAAACAAAAAGTAAGTCAATTCAAATTTTACAACAAGACAAAAAACAAAGTGGCATTGGACAAGAAAATGTAGATACAAAAAGCATCCTACTAAAATCAAATTCACACATACTCATTACTGGCAAGAGCTGCTGTTTTCTCTGGACCCAAACCAAATATATATGAGTGTGCTATTGTTATAATTACAATTGGGAAATTACAATTTTGTTGATGTAGAGGTAAACAGGAAGGGAGGAAATGGGTGTGAAGGTAGACACATAAGGGGCTTAAAGAGGTTTAAAGAAATTACAGATTTATTATTGGATCTAAATTGACAACAGTCTTTCATCAGGGGCGAGAAAGTCATTTCTTGTTGCAGTAGATAGTGCTTGCATTAATCAGTTGAGAAATTGTGTTTTTTTTTAAATTTGTGAACAATGTGGCCTTTCAAAAGCATAGGTTTAACCAGACTCAGCTACGAAAGGGATGAACTCAAAAGCAAATCGTGAAGAATATGCCATCTAGAGGTGTAAGTGATCTTTGTTCAATTCTAGTGTTTACATGCTATAGGTTTTTAATTGCCTATTGTAATCATTTTAGTACTGTTCGATGCATTAACCTAGCCCTTTTAAAGAACCATCCATGCTATAACAGTTTTTGTACGGGAAGAAACAATACTCATAATGCAAATATTATTAATATTATAAAAAACTGATATAAATAGTATTCAGAAGAGTTGGAATGTGCGCCTGGGTAAGAAAATGTGGATTTTATGCAGTTGAGTGTAAGGGACCTAAGTTTGTTCTTCAGTTGAATATGTATGTAAGTCGGAACAGGTACATTGTTTACGTGTAAACTTGAGTCATTTTAAAAAATGTTCTAGATAGCATAGGGAATTGTTAACACCACTTTAACAGTTGTTTTTCTGCCTGTGTTCCTGTTCAGAATATTTCACCTCATTATCCATGACAATTGGATTTTGAAAATGTTAGATAGTTGTGGAAACAAGGACTGGTGAGAAAGCTTTAGTGGAGACACCTTTCCCGCAGGATAACTCTTACAGGACGTCCAAAGAAGAGCCATCTATAATGCAGCAAAGGCCAGCGTGCTCTCTCATCTTCTGTCATGGCCAACTGGGCAAAATGGAGCTTCTTGGTTGGGGGGGGGGGAGAGATGCCAACACTTCCCATGGGCTGTCAACAATCTCCCTTGCTTCTCTTCCCCAGCCATTGCTCTTAGCAAAAGGTGAGGGAGGCTCTCAACAGGTTCCTTCACCTCTCGCCTCCAATCGTGGTTGCAGAGGAAATGCAAAGGAGACAGGCCACAAGGTCCCTTGCCCCTCTGATCCAGCCATGGATGTTGGAGAAGGGTGAGGAACACTGGCCACAAGCTCTCTTGCCCCTTGCTCCCAAACCGCAGCTGCTTGTGCACAGTGAGAGAGTGCCACCACTCCCCATGGGCTGGCCATCCTGTTTGTAACTACAAGTTGTTTGTAACTCAGGGTCTTCCTGTATAATGATAGCATTTTTATTCCAGCCGCAGTAAGATCATGGTTACCTCCAAAAGAGCTGGACAATGTTTGGTTGGAGGCATCTAAACTGCGGTTGGTTCGGCACATGATGGGGGTGCTTTCTGCACTATTAGGGAATTGGACTAGACAACACAGGGATACATTCCAATGGTATAATTCTGACAGCTATGAAATTTATTCGACATCCCCCTAGGTTAAGTGATATGCAAGAATAATAGCAAGAGTTTAGTGTAGCCATAATAGAAGCTCCAAACAAATATGGACTCTTCTACACTGCCATATAAAATCCAGATTATCTGCGTTGACAATCTGGATTATATGACAGTGTAGAAGGGGCCTCTGACAGCAGTTTTCATTTTAACTGAAACAGGTGGATTGGTGAAAAGTGAAATAGAAACCTACAAAGAAGTAGGATTTTCAAAGTCAAGTGATAATATGGGCAGAGGAGACCATCCTAGTCACACAATATATGCTAATGAAGTATGTAAAGGCTTTACAGATCAACTGCCAACATGTATGATGCTGCATTATCTGGGTTGCATGGCTCCCTGATCCTTATCGCTTGCTAACTTACCCCCTTGCAAATGGACACAGCTTCTTTGGACATCGCTTTGGGGTAAGAAACATTATGCTCCATTATTGACTGGAAAAGCTCATCTTCATCTTCACCATCAAATGGAGGCTGTTGAGAGAAAGCAAAAGCTAAGTGTTTAATCAGAAACTCAAATTTACATTATGATCCAGAACAATTTATTCAAAAGCAGACTAATCAAGGAAAGCAATTACAGACACTTCTAGTTAGCATAATTTTCATTCACTTCGGCGCAAGACCAGGCAAATGGCAAGGTCTGGAACATTTCCATAACAGCATTGGCATAAAAAAGTAATGTGTGATCACTTTTAGGATTTTTTTCTTGTTGTTTTGCATCTTAAGGGTACCCCCCCCCCCCTCACCCCAGACACACACACACACAGCACAGTATTAAAGAGGCTAACAAAGCATCTGGGCGAAAAAATGATTAGGTGACAATTCCCTACTTCAAAATTAAATTGGCTATATAACTCTGTATGCCTGAACTAAAAAAAAATAAATGTTAAAACTTCTATTTTATTGCTGGTAGCCTCTTTGAACTGAATTTGGTTGAAAAAGCAAGCAAACAAATAAACAAGTCTTCCTGGCAAACGCACCAATGGTCCATTCCAACACAGAATATGAAAACCCTTATTGCAGAATTAATATACAACTCTACCACTGACTAAGTTTTGCCTGCAATCCACTGTGTCAAGAAGCAGATAGAAAGATAGTATAAGGGCTTGTCTTAGCACAGTGGGTTAAACCGCTAAGCTGCATAAAATCCTGCTAATTGAAAGGCTGTTCAAGCCCGGGTCAGGGTGAGCACCGTCTGTCAGCCCCAGCTTGTGTTCACCTAACAGATCGAAAACAGAAATGTGGGTAGATAAACAGGTACCGCTTTAAGCGGGGAGAATGTCTACGGATGACAAAAAGCTCCTTGGAATGGAGTGACAGCACCTCCCAGTGTCTGGAGTTGAGCACAGCATACAGCATACAGGAAATGGAAAAAGATGGAGAAAGCTTTTGCCTCTGTTTATGTATTGTCTGTCCTTGTTAATTGTATAACGACATTGAATGTTTGCCGTATATGTGTTTTGTAATTTGCCCCGAGTCCCCTTGGGGAGATAGAGAGGAATATAAATAAAGTATATTATTAAAAAAAACGGGAAGAATGCAGTGGATTCAACTCTATGTTACAACTAGGCTTCCTGCTCTACAACAGAAAATTTCCACACCTATGCTAAAAGTCAACTTATCGTAATACCGTGGGGGAATGGTTTAAAGAGTGCTTGCACGTCAGTTTGAAATATGAATTTGTCGTCTTTACTAGGCAAGCCTTGCTATTGATGGTGAAGTTTAGAATATTTGCATTTTAATTTCACATTGCATTACATAAGGTTCATCAACCATTAATGCTCTAGCAATCTCTTGAGCATTAGAAAACATTTAGGAGTGTAGAAAAACAAATGCTATGGTCTTGTCTCCCTGAGCTGGCAGAGCCTCCCTGGCTTTTTAAGACTGCTTCAGAGGGGGAGAAGGCTATAGACGATCTTAGTTAACTTTTCAGGAAGTCATCTGCACAACACTTCCAGGCACAAACATCATTAAATTACATTGATATCTTGCCTCCAGCAGAACTCTGCCACTCAGTGTTTGCATTTCTTATTGCTTAAATAAACAGGATTAGCATGCATGCACACAGAGGCAGGCTGGTGATTAAGGCTAATGAGCTATAAACCATGCATGGAACACACACCATATAATGTTAAAACTTCTTTTCAAAGACCAATCTGCCTATACAGCTGACCAATCTATCGTAAATCTTCCCATCTAATATGGTATGTTTTATGTTTATTATTTATTCAGATTAATTAAACATGCAGATGCTAATTAATCCAGTTAAACCTCTGAATATAATGGTACAGCCATCCTTACCTGACCAGCTAGCATCTCATATAACAATACGCCATAGGCCCACCAGTCCACTGATCTTCCATATGGCTGATAGGCAATAATCTGTAAATTGTAAGGTGGAAAAAATGAATTCATTTTGCAGTTTATTTATTATAAAAACAAAAACAAAAACAAAATATGTAACTGAAAAGATTTTTTTTTACTTCCAATTCCAGACACTTGTTAGTACCTTAGGCATGCATAAAGAATCAACTAGCTATACCCGCCATGCGTTGCTGTGACCAACCTTCCTTCCTTCTTTCTTTCTCTCCTTCCTTCCCTTTTTTTTCTTTCCTTCTCTCCTTTCTTCCTTCTCTTCCTCTTCCCTTCCTTCCCCATTTTCTTTCCCTTTTGCTTTCTTTCCTTTCTTCCTTCCTTCTCTGCCTATTCTTGGACTGCAACTCCCATCAGTCCTCCTGACTGATCTACCTACCTATCTATCTATCTCTGTCTAATCTATCTATCTGGAGGATTGCTGGGAGTTGCAGACCAGGAATAGGAAATTGGGAATATGCAGGGATTGGGATGCTCTCAAAGAAATCCAAGGAGAAGAAAGCTTGCAGCTTGGAAGCAGTGCACTTGGATCACCCTCCTCTCCTAAAGGGCCTGGTCTAGGGGATGCTGGGAGCTATAGTCCGGAAGAGAGTGAGGATATGCTATTGTGTATTTTGTTTGCCGGGGGAGTTGTTTTTGCGCATGTGCTGTAGCAACTTCTTGCATTTTTGGCTTTTTAAGTCCCTTCCACTGTGTTTTTCGGTGTTTTTTGAGTGATGGTCACTCCTTGGCCTGACAGGTGTATTGTGTCCAAATTTAGTGTCAGTTCTTCCAGTGGTTTTTGAGTTATGTTAATCCCACAAACAAACATTACATTTTTATTTATATAGACTAGCCATCCCCTGCCATGCGTTGCTGTGGCCCACATGGGGGTTCTGTGTGGGAGGTTTGGCCCAATTCTATCATTGGTGGGGTTCAGAGTGCTCTGTGATTATAGGTGAACTATAAATCCCAGCAACTACAACTCCCAAATGTCAAGATTCTATTTTCCCCAAACTCCACCAGTGTTCACATTTGGGCATATTGAGTCTTCATGTAGAGTTTGGTCTAGAACCATCATTGTTTGAGTCCACAGTGATCTCTGGATGTAGGTAAACTACAACTCCAAAACCAAAGGATGCTGCCTAGCAAACCCTTCCAGTATTTTCTGTTGGTCATGGGAGAACTGTGTGCCAAGTTTGGTTCAATTCCATCGTTGGTGGAGTTCAGAATGCTCTTTGATTGTAGGTGAACTATAAATTCCAGCAACTACAACTTCCAAATGACAAAATCATTTTTTTGAGTGAAGGACATACATTGTATTGTCAGGTGTCTTGTGCCCAAATTTGGTGTCAATTAGTCCGGTGCTTTTTGAGTTCTGTTAATCCCACAAACTAACATTATGTTTTTATTTATGTAGATACAGTAAACAAACTTTAGTCTAGGGGTGAACTGAAATGCAATTGAGAAATCAATGTAATTGCGAAATCAATTTCTTTGAGATTCACAGAATTAGGTAAAGACTGGCTTTAAGATATAACTTGTGAGAGTGGCACTGATTTCCACAACTTCCCCCTCATCACTCCTTGTTGATTGCTTGGCTGTAGAGCCCGGGTAGGCATTGTTTACCCCAATTTGTCACAATCCATTATTTCCATCGTCATCAGAACCCAACTAATTTTTAAAAGCCTTTTACTGAACGGATTGCTCAAATGTGTACTCCATAATTCTTTGGGGAAAACATCCGAAAAATGTGTAGTGTTTGAAAGAAGAAGTTCACCTCAGGTGCAATGTAATCTGGAGTCCCACAGAAAGTCCTCGTTGTTACTCCATCGTTCATATTCTCTTTGCACATCCCAAAATCGGCAATCTTGATGTGTCCTTCGTAATCCAGCATTACATTATCTAATTTCAAATCCCTATGAAAAATCACAGCAATAAAAAAAAAACCTATCTGTTGCAAGGATACTGATGATATTCTCCTTAAGGTGCATCAAAGCTAAAATTAGGACAGATATTGAAAATCAATAAGCAAATCAAATAAGTATTTGGAAGTAGAATTTAATTTTGGACTGGTTTGGAAGTTGTATTTATTATTATTATTATTATTATTATTATTATTATTATTTTAATTGATAATTTCAGAATACAGTGATTGTGAGAATGACAATTGTGGGGTAAAGGGTATTGGGGGGGTTGGAAGGGGAAAAGACACAATGGGAAGGGTTAAAAAATAGAAAAAGAAAAAAAGGGGGGGAATTTATATATACATATACACACATATATACACAAAGCACACCAAATCAAACATAAGTACGACAAACACAGATTATTTATTATATATTTATTTAAAACATTTATTTTCCGCCCTTCTCACCCCAAAGGGGTGGAGCACAACACACAAATGGCAAACATTCAATGCCAGGACATGAATTCATTATATGCATACATAAACATGAAAAACATTTATCTCAGCCTTAAAATACATTGTTTAAAAGTGTCTTGATCATCTAATAGGCCTAGTAAGGTTTCCTGTTTCTGCTTTATTGCACTGTCCTGAAAGCCAAGTTTTTACCATCCTTCTAAAGGACAGAAGGGAGGGGGCTGATCTAATCTCACCAGGAAGGAAGTTCCATAGCCGGGGGGCAATCACCGAGAAGTCCCTCTCTCTCGTTCCTGCCAATCACGTCTGTGACAATGGCAGGACGGAGAGCAGGGCCTCCTCGGAGGATCTTAATCTCCGTGATGGTTCATAGGGGGAGATGCATTCAGACAAGTAAATTAGGCCGGGGCCATTTAGGGCTTAATAGGCCAAAGCCAGCATTTTGAATTGTGCTCGGTAGCAAACTGGCAGCCAGTGGAGCGGCATAACATGGGAGTTGTATGCTCCCTGTATGCCGCTCCAGTTATTAACCTGGCTGCCTCTCGTTGACTATTTGAAGCTTCTGAACAGTCTTCAAAGGCAACCCCACACAGAGTACATTGCAGTAGTCGATCCTAAATGATATGAGAGCGTGGACCACCGTGGCCAAGTCTGGCTCCCTAAGGTACAGGTGCAGCTGGCACACAAGTTTTGATTGTGTGAAAGCTCCCCTGGCCACCGCTGTAACCTGGAATTCTAGGAGAACTCCCAAGCTGTGAATCTGTGCCTTCAAGGGGAGTGTAACCCCGTCCAGCATAGGCTGTAATCCTATGCCCTGTTCGGCCTTGCGACTGACCAGGTGAATATAAGTAGACCTACCCAGAAGTACATACAGTCAGCCCTACATATCCACGGATTATTAATCCACAGACTCAACAATCCACTCTTGAATATATATATTTAAAAATCCACTCCTTGTTTTTACCCTTTTATATAAGAGTCAGCTCTTCAGCCCAGCTTACCTGTCTGAACGTATCTCTAATTATGAATCATCTAGGAATTTAAGATTGACTGGGTAGGCCCTGCTCTTGGTCCTGCCTTCCTCACGAACACACCTGGCAGGGACGAGAGACAGGGCCTTCTCAGTGGTGGCCCCTTGGCTGTGGAACTCCCTTCCTAGGGATATTAGATCGGCCCCTTCCCTCCTGACCTTCCAAAAAAAGAGGAAAAACTTGGCTTTTTGAACAAGTGTTTGGAAGTTCAGCAGAATAGGTCATTATTAAATAGGAAGAATGAACATGGAATGGCTGGACGATGCTGCTGGATAATGTTTTTAACAGGATGACATCAGTGATGATATGTCTTTAAATTGTTTATATATGCTTTTTAAACGTTGAGTTGTATGTTTTTAAAATGTATTTTTATGAATCTATGGTACTAAATTTGCTAATTCTGTGAGTCGCCTTGACTCGCCGCAAGGCTGAGAAAGATGGGCTACAAATGCTGTAAATAAATAAATAAACAAATTTTATGATACTATTGTAAATAATGGAACCTGAAAGCCATCGATTTTGATATCCATGGGGCATCCTGGTACCAAAAACCAGGATAGCAAGGCACTGTAATCATACAGGTTATTCTCTCTTCCCACACTGTGCCTCCCTCTTTATCAATTTCTTTTTCACCTCTTGTGCCAACATTTGTACTGCATATCAAAATGCATTATTGAATACTCACCGATACACAATGCCTTTTTTATGAAGAAAGAAAAGCCCCACCGAGATCTCTGCTGCATAGAACCTGAAAGAAAAGAATTTCAGCTAGTGAGCGCATATATATATGTGCAGCCTCTCTGCTGAATTAGTACTGAGTATACATGGAAAGTGCCATGTAGGTACCTGAAAATGTTTGGACAGATATGACTGCACTGCTCAGTTAGAACTGTAGCAGAGGATATGCAACCTCCACCAAGGGTTGGTGGTTCTACATCTTCTAGAGTCTCTACGTAGGAGATATATACAATCCTAGTCTTGAATCCCAAATCTCCTCCTTCAGACCCTTCTTCTGTATGCAGCATGTAGATGGCAGGAGGGAAAAGAAAAAGGGCATGTCTGGTGGTAGCGGTTGCAGAAAAGGAAAGGGTGACAGCAGACACCTCTTCTCCCTTTATCACAGTAGTAATTCCCAGACATAGACTTGGTTTTCTGTTCTGGCATAAGAAGAGAATAGGAAACCTGGAGCTGTCTTGAGACAGAGGGGGAAAAAATCTCGCAAAGGTATTTTATGGATTCCAGTCCATTGAAGAAGTAGAGTGGACTCCATAAAAGCTTATAGTAGAAATTATCTCTCCCCTCCCCCAATTAGTTTAAAAGGTATTACAAAATTACTTAGGGCCCTTCCACACAACCCTATATCCCAGAATATCAAAGCAGAAAATCCCACATTATCTGAGTGTGGACTCAGTGGACTGAGTGTGGGCTCAAAGCAGATATTGTGGGATTTTCTGCCTTGATATTCTGTGATATAGGGCTGTGTGGAAGGACCCTCATCAAGTGAAATCTAGAAATCCTAAAGAGGGATATCAAAAAGGGTCGAACAGTTAAAATCTTTCAAAGTTTGGATGACCCAGTGCTCAACCATGACACAGGAGGAATCTGTCACTTCTGTTAGGCTTATGCTATTCCTTAAACTAGAAAGAACAACACCTCAATTTATGTTACCATATGAAGATGTAGACCAGGAGGTGAGGGGAGCATTTGTTTGACTCAAGGCATGCAGCATCTGTGTGAGTCTACCTTCAAAGCAGTTTACTCTTTCCAGGACTCAAAAACTTCTTCAGCTTGCAAGCAACAGAGGTATTCCTTCATGCTACAATAATTTGGTTTTTCATTTCTTCCTTCTTCCTTCCATGATGGCCAAGGCTACTTCCTTGACTCCAGTAAAGACCCACAAAGGCCATGGAGGGACTTATATTGCATTCCCGACTCTCCCCCTCCCTGCCTGAGACATGTTATCAATATCAGCCCTGAACATTACACCAGGTTTAAGAGAAATGTGATGCATTCCTCATTAGCCAGTCATTCTGACATGGGTAAGCAGACTGAATTGGAGATCATACATTGCCACATCAGCCAGGATCTAAATCTTTGTGACTCACATTGCAGCTCAGTCACACATAATACCACCATACAAAAAATGCAGATCCTTTCTAAATGTTCAATGGATTAATTATGTGACGTTAATTGAAATGCCAGCTATCTAAAACGTAGTTATTTTCCATCTGCATGATACTGATGAGTGTTGGTAGTGAGAACTATGGTGGAGTCATGTCAATTACACACACCAGGAAAGTAGAGCTGGGAAAGGGCCAGGGAAAGATGCAGTCCTGGAACAAAATGATCAAATTACGACTTTTAAGTTAAAATTAACAGAAAGAGACACTCACACTGCTTGGGGCTCCTTAAATTTTCCTACTTGCTGGATATGATACATGAGATCACCACCATTCACATATTCCATGACAAAGTATAGGCGATCCTAGCACACAATATGAAAACAAAAAAAATGTCAGGCGGCAGAAACCACTGCTATGAAAATACAAACATGGTGAATTTATTATTATTTATTATTTATTTTTTATTTATTTAAACATTTGTATCCCATCCTTCTCAACCCCCGAGGGGGGACTAAAGGCGGCTTACATCCGGCAGCAATTTGATGCCATTACACACAACAATATAACACAAATTTGACATTAATTAAAACAATAAGTTACAAAATATCCAATTAAAAACATCTCTAACAGCAAAATAATTACATCCATGTCCAGTTCAGCACCCATAGTTCCATTCCATAGCCTGTCTGGTTTTAAAACTTAGCATATGTTGAATGGAGAAAAGTAATATTGTAGGTTTTTTTCGGGCTATATGGCCATGTTCTAGAGGCATTCTCTCCTGACGTTTCGCCTGCATCTATGGCAAGCATCCTCAGAGGAGGTCTGTTGGAACTAGGAAAAGGGTTTATATATCTGTGGAATGACCAGGGTGAGACAAAGGACTCTTGTCTGCTGGAGCTAGGTGTGAATGTTTTAACTGACCACGTTGATTAGCATATAATGGCCTGACAGTGCCTGGAGCAAACTTTTGTTGAGAGGTGATTAGATGTCCTTGTTTTTTTCCTCTCTGTTGTTGTGCTGTTGTAATTTTAGAGTTTTTTAATACTGGTATCCAAATTTTGTTCATTTTCATGGTTTCCTCCTTTCTGTTGAAATTGTCCACATAAACCCTTTTTCCTAGTTCCAAAAGATCTCACTACCTCTGAGGATGCTTGCCATAGATGCAGGCGAAACGTCAGGAGAGAATGCCTCTAGAACATGGCCATATAGCCCGAAAAAACCTATAACAACCCAGTGATTCTGGCCATGAAAGCCTTCGACAATACAATATTCTGATATATTTGGACAGAATAATTACATTCCCTTCTCAATCAGAGGGCTATATTTATAATATCCCTCCTGCCATCTATTGTTTGTTTCAACTGTGTTTGTGCATTTTGAAATACATTTAAAACTGACATAATGTATTAGAACCTCATTAATTTAGTGTGTTGTCTAGTTTTTTTACATTTGTTTTAATTCCTTTGCCTTAGGAATTTAATATTAATTAAATGCTACAATGTCCAATGGCTTAGTCTTTTATAGGTTTTTAAAAAGTTATTTTTATTGTTCAAAGAGGAATAGTCTGGGCGAAATTAATTATTTTTATTAATACTGATAATCCATCTCTAATTTTAAAAAATTATATATACTTTTTTCATTACTAAGCTCATTAATAAAGAAATGCAAACTTTACTGTACATGTATATGACGTGTTCCTTTTTTCCCCTACAGTTTGGACACTTTCTATGGCTGACTATTTTGGTCAAATCTTGAATCAAACTGAGCCAATTTAGATCAATCTTGAGCCTTAGTCAATTCATTGAAAGCAAACACATTTGGATTGATTCAGCTGCCTAGAAACGAAGCTCCAATCTCACAAAGCTAATATTGCAAAGGTGTACCATATATGGAAATACTCAAGTATAATAGTCCGCAAAATACAGGAATTCATTGATACAACATCCCCCCTCCCCCAATTCAATACACACATCCCAGGCCTTAGAAAAAATATAGGAGCTTCAGAACAACAGCAGAACTAAGGTGATATCTGGAGTAAAGGATATCATCTAGAATGACATAAGTCTGTTAATAAGTCTGTGTACCTTAAAGTTTACAAAAAATGTGTATAGCTATGCTATCATTACCCTTTAGTCTCACTGCAATATTCTGAGAAAACAGAAGCTGTACAATGTGAATAAACGCAATAACCAGAATATCAGTTGAGCAGACCTCTGAAAGTAATGACTGTTAAATAGTAGTGATAATACTAATAACAAATATAGCCATATTTTTAAAATATTACATGTGGACATACCACTGTATGGAAACAAGAATGCAACTGTGTTAGGAAAGGAGGTTTGTCTTGTAGGGCTAGGACCCTCTTTTCCACCATGGTACACTCTACATCATCATCCTGAATCACCACGTCTTTTTTCAATATTTTTATTGCGTACAGCTCGTCTGATCCCTTCCGTTCTGCCAACATCACCTGCACAAGAACAAAGAAAGAAAACCCTGATAATCACAGTCTAGCAGAATGAGGAGGCAGCTATGGTATTTCAATTTGTGTTTTATAGTAAAGAAGCTCTGGAAATCTTTATTTTCTATTTTCTCATTTATAACAATTGGGACTTTAAATGAACACCAGATCTCAACAGCCAATCTACTCTTCTAGGAACAGGTATCTATGAGGAGTGGCTTAAAGAGCTGGGCATGTTTGGCTTGCAGAAGAGAAGGGTGAGAGGAGACATGATGAGGATCATGTATAAATATGTGAAGGGATGCCATAGGAAGGAAAGAGCAGGCTTGTTTTCTGTTGCCCTGGAGACTAGGATGCAGAACAATGGATTCAAACTACAGGAAAGGAGATTCCACCTGAACATTAGGAAGAACTTCCTGACTGTAAGAACTGTTCAGCAGTGGAACTCTCTGCCCAGGAGTGTGGTGAAGGCTCCTTCTTTGGACCCTTTTAAACAGAGGCTGGATGGCCATATGTCAGGAGTGCTTTGAATGTGATTTTCCTGCTTTTTGAGAGGGGGTTGGGCTGGATGGCTCAAAAGGTCTCTCCCAAGTCTATAATTCTACGATTCTATCTTCACATTGCACATTACGTGTAGGAAACATAATTTAGACAATAAAAATGAGTGCACCCCTTTCTGGGGAACTTGGTTTCACAAGGCCAAAATGGGACAAACTAATATGTTTAAGGACAATTAGCTCTGGGATCCCGTTTTCTGTTACTGGGATCCTTGCTGGAAAAGTTAATGGATTTTCAACAATATCCCACAAAGCAAAAAGTGAAATGACAATTTTTGGGAGGAAGTAAATTGTATTTTTTAGATATTGGAGGCTCCCGAGAAAGGCTGTTTCTCCAGGGGAGACTAAAAAGTGTACCCTACGGAAAGTAGAGAGGGTTAGTAGTCCAGAAAATGGAATTTACGGGCCATACTACCTACCCCTGTTTTAAAAGTCTCCACAGATGTTTGGAGAGAGGGTAGAAACATGTTTAGGTTGCTAGGGATCCTGTGGCTAGCTGTTAGTAGAATCCACACATGTCCACACTGAACAGTTAGTTATAACAAGCTGACTGGATTAATGGCCATACTTTTTATTATGCATTTTTCTTGTACTAAGAAGAAAATCCCAAGACAAAGTAAATGGAAGAACCCATCACACTTCGTACCTTCCCAAAACTTCCTTTCCCAAGAACCATGAGAAAGTTGAAATCTTCAAGCTTCACCCGGTCAATGTTATTGGATGGTAAGCTCCGATCTTCAGTTGGAGTGATGACTTTGTTTGCTGAAGGACCAAGTCTAGCTTTCTAAAGTAAATAAATAAAAATATTAATGTAAAATCTGTAGCTTTTTTTCCCAGGGCTAATCTGATATTTGAATGAGGCAGTGTCGGATCTGCATATGGCTGATGTGAAGGTTTATGCTCACAGAAAAGGAGTGCATTAACACAAGCACAATTTCAAAAGATCAATTCCAACGATAACGTCAACGGTGTTATACGTAAAGTGAAGAGGTAAAGAGATATCAGCAATATCTCTTATGAGATTAACAGAACAAAACAAAAAAACAAGAGCAGAAGAAATAATTACATCAACTTCATGCCAAAATCCAACCAAATTAATCGCTGTGAGTTTTTTTCAAATATGATTGTTTTTTAAAAAAACAACACATGCTTTTGTGTTAAAAGGACACAGAAAACATTTGCAAATGTTCTAGTTGTAATTCACTCTTCTGACATGCTTTATGGAGAGAAAACCTTCATACACAGACAGTATATTATGTCAGTCAACACTGTTAGCACCACTTCCAGGCATTGGCATCAAATTTGATGTTCAATCAAATTTTGACCTTGGAGGAAAACATATTTTTGTAGTCAAATCATAGTATGAGTTTTCTACTTTGGAGAAACATCATTAAGCATTTGCAAACTTTTATCAGCAATGAGCAAATGTGAATTTAGTTTTAAGCCACAGACTGTTCATACATGTAACATTAGAAGACTCACCTCAAAAAACATCTGCCTTAAATTGTTATGACCTTGTTTCTATCAAATTTGACCTCAAACATCACTCATAAGCAGGTATTAAAACAAAACAGTTTATCAGTGAAAACATTTTCTTATTTCTGGAATGCCTTTAAATCCACTCAAAAGGCAGGGATCTCAAAATAATGTCAGTTTTTCATTAGTGCGACTAGAAAAGAAAAGCAGTCCTCTTTGCTGGACAATAAGCATGAATCTGAAAAACTAGGGGTGTATTTATCTGTGCACTATATGTGCCATGTCACCTATTGATTTATACTAAGAAGTGGTTTTCTCCTCTGAAATAGAGGCCTCTTCCACACAGCTGTATAAAATCCACATGGTAGTGTGGACTCAGATAATCCAGTTCAAAGCAGATATTGTGGATTATCTGCCTTGATATTCTGGGTTCTATGGCTGTGTGGAAGGACCCATAGCCTACAGCATTTGAACTGCTTTGGTGGTCCTCCATCCAAGTATTAATCATCCTAGAGCCCTTTCCACACAGCCCTATATCCCAGAATATCTTGGCAGAAAGTCCCACAATATCTACTTTGAACTGGGTTATGTGAGGGCCCTTCCATACAGCCCTATATCCCAAAATATAAAGGCAGAAAACCTCACATTATCTGAGCGTGGACTCAGATAACCCAGTTCAAAGCAGATATTGTAGGATTTTCTGCCTTGATATTCTGGGATAGAGGGCTGTGTGGAAGGGTCCCTAAAACAAAGACATTTTTTACCTTAGACAGACCTAAGTGTAAGATACATGCCATTAAAATATCCATGCTGTTCATGTGTTTCCAGCTAATGTTAAATTATTGCTATATTAGACAACATCAGTGCAGAAATCTCATGCCTGTTTTGAAAAGTTGTTTCTTCTTTAAAGATACACTAGATATGTATACAATTATATTCACCATAATATTTCACTAAGAACATAATTTCATTCTTAAGCTCTGGGAGCACCTAACCGCTGAATGCAGCATATCCTTTTTGAGCAGAGATCTCTTTATCCCTATACAGTGGGTCCCCAGATGTTTTGGCCTTCAACTCCCAGAAATCCTAACAGCTGGTAAACTGGGTTGTTGTGGGTTTTTCGGGCTGTATGGCCATGTTCTAGAAGCATTCTCTCCTGAAACTTTGCCTGCATCTATGGCAAGCATCCTCAGAGGTTGTGAGCTGGTAAACTGGCTGGGATTTCTGGGAGTTGTCAGTCAAAACACGTGGGGACCCACAGGTTGAGAACCACTGCCCTATTATAAAGCAGTCTGAGAAGAAGAATGACACACACACACACTTTCAGACTAGATGGCTACTACTGCAATCATAGCTGCTACATGAAGAATTCATAGTTTTCAAAATCTTTTCCCCATTTAAGACATTTCAATACCTTATATCTGCAGTGATCGAAGATATATTTGTTGAATGAGGGGTGAAACAGGAAACAATATAGGATTGTCCCCATAACCTTAATGCCAGAACTGCTTCTAATCCCAGCGAATTAAATGAACACAAACAGTAGGACGAATACATTAAAATTAGTCTATCTCCCCAAAATTTCATAATTGCAATTTCCAATTACAACTGCCCACTTTAGAAGTTAAATAAGGCTCTTATCACCATTGATTCTATCCTCAAGATACAAAATAAGCTTTGTCTGGGAGTGATATTGGCACAAACATAATGGGCATAATCCCAACCCACTAAAGTTTCTGTCGTACAGTGAGAATTTGTCTCACATTCCAATACACAGATATGCACTGAAAAAGGAAAGATAATTAGGAATCCAATACTGGGAACTATTAACAAATTGCTTCTAGCAGATTAAGACTTAAACACAATAACGACATTAGGCAATCTGGGCCTATTTAAATACTGTAATGGTTAACAAGGTGGAAAGGGGATCATAAGGAACATGGATTCTTGGAAAACATCTTTTAAAATTGTATGGTAGACAAGTCTAGCAAATTGCTGGTAAATGATAACATAGCATCTAAGAAATGCCCTCTTTCGCAAGAGTTTTTGTATTTAGATGACACTCTGACAAATCAGAATTTAAAACCATTCCCAATCCATACTTTGCAGCATAGTCCAAATGAACACCAACTGCCTCCTGTATTCCAAATAGGATGTTCTGCTCCACAACTCTGTGTGTTTTATGAGTTCCATTTAAACGTCCTGCTCCTATTTTATCTCATCATAGTCTGTTAATTGTTTTTTTTAAAAATTCGTAATATGTGGCCCGCCCATTGTCATTTCTATCGTGATTGTGTCTATTGGAATTTTTATTTTATTTTATTATTACTATTATTATTTTCCTATTATTTTAATGTCATTTTGATAATGTTGTTGTTGTCTGATGTATATGCTTTGATTTTATTGCTGTATTTATGTTGTCCGGGCTTGGCCCTATGTTAGCCGCTCCGAGTCCCCATTGGGGAGATGGTGGCGGGGTATAAATAAAGTTATTATTATTATTATTATTATTATTATTATTATTATGTATGCAAGACCACCTGAGTGGCCCAGGACTGCTCCAGCATGCATTGGAAATGAGAACAGAGGCCAGGAGCTTCTCATAGCCTGTCCTGAAAGGGATCCTACAACTATGCCATCCAAAACCTCAAAATGAATTGGCATATGTTAGCTGAAGTTTCCCACAGATCTATGCCCTAGGCTTCAATTGCAATGTCAATGTAATGTGCCCAAGGTGCTGTGAGGTGCACTTTATGGCCCTTCCTAGGCGTAAATAAGGGATTTACAAAAGAACCAGGGATGTTTTAATATCCATTTTATGAGTTGCTAATCTTCATTTTTGCTCCTTGACTGTGGAACACACACCTCTTGGTGATATAGTGAAATAAACATGCTGTAAAAGGAAAATAGGCTCAAAAACATCATGGCTTATTAAGTTATTTACATATTGGAGCCAAACTGCAGAACATGAAATATCACTCAGTAACTAAAATACAGTGAAGCATCCTTATTTTTAGGGTTTAGAACACTTTAATTGGTATGCTGTAGCATATACTGCACACCCTTCCAGTCTTCAAAGATAATTTATACTGTTAATTAGATTACTGTTTAGAATAGAAAGCTGATTTCTGGTAACAATTTTAAATTAAATCCATAAAGCGCCATGTAATTTCTCTGTAATTACATTAGGCTTGTTTGTGGTGTTTCTTTTTCTGATATTAGTTTCAAACACACTTATCTTAGATAATGCTGTAATGAGCATGAATAATCTACTCATTACTCTGCTTCTCAAAGGCATCTAATGTTCCAAATCTATCCTGTCTCCAAATGTGAGAACAAATCAGTCTCATGTGTCATATAGATGCCTTCCTGCCTCATTTGGTCCATGTAGACGGGCCCTTAAAGTAAAGGTAAAGGTTTCCCCTTGACATTAAGCCTAGTTGTGTCCAACTCTGGAGGGTGGTACACATCTCCATTTCTAAGCCGAAGAGCTAGCGTTGTCCACAGACACCTCTATGGTCATGTGGCTGGCATGACTGTATGGAGTGCTGTTACCTTCCCGCAGGAACGATACCTACTGATCTACTCTCATTTGCATGCTTTCGAACTGCTAGGTTGGCAGAAGCTGAGACTAACAGTGGGAGCTCACCCCACTCCCCTATTTCTAACCTTTTGGTCAGCAAGTTCAGCAGCTCAGCGATTTAACCTGCTGCGCCACTAGGGGCCCCTGCACAATCATATTTCCCATGACAAAGGCAGTTTCGAAGAAATGTTTACCATCATGTTTTTTTCATATTAAGATCAAAACAATAAATTTGGGATTTAATGGCCACCAGGTGAGTTAAAATGGAGAACAGGAAGAAGAACATAATCAGCCCAAGGGAAAATCACAATTTCCCCCAATTCCCTAGACACCACAGGATCCCTTCAACAGAACGATTTCAAAAGTGTGGTCTCAAAAAGGTGACTTTTCAAAGCACTGAGATAGTTCTGTTTAAAGTAAAGAAACCTATGTGGACAATGTTATTACTATGTGTTGGACTTCTGCTTTCTAGAAGAACCTCAGTTCATGGAGATCGGCCAGATTTGGTGCCTATGAGTCTCAAACTAGAGCCCTAATGACCACAACAGTGGACTTGAATTGTAGACTACCAAGGCATCACTACCCAAACCCAAGTTGGATTATTCACTATAGCAATTACTATATTTTAGCAGAGTTCAACAAAAATTCCACACAAAGCCCAGCTTGCAACCTCAAAACACGGCAGTTTAATAAGCATTAGTTCCAGCACTCAGAGAAGAAAACCA